AATATATATATAATATAATATAATATATATATATAAAACTGTCTTAAAAGACAGGACAGATGTGCAGGGCTTCTCTGTGGGTTTGACAAATTTATTGATATCTCAGCAAATCAAGAAGGTAGAAGGTTGTTCACATTATATATTCTTGCTCATAATCATGTTTGGTGCATATTTTTAGTTGTGTGGATACTGAAAACCATGTTATTGAAGATGTAAAATATAAAGGGGAGAATTCAGTGTAGATATGCCATATGAACGAGCAGTGAAGATTGAGAATTCTTTGAAATAGTTCCTTCTGAAATTAAGCAAATTAAAGTTTAGAATACAAAACTCTAAATTATAAACTATGTTTTGATGCCAGGTGTATTGACATATACTGATAATAGATTTGTTTAATTAAATTTTGAATGTAACTCTGTAAAAAATATGTAACATGTGCATTTTGACCCAGATGTATAAATAGGGTTAATAATCTATGATAACAGCATGATAACTAAATTTTGGTACTTTACCAAAAAGTAATTTTAATCTTAACTTTTTCTATATAAATGTAGTCCAGCAAAAACACATTATGTTCAGCTAACAACATTACTTACTAACAAAGTATAAATATGTATCACACGGACAAAATAAGGTTTGGTGATAAGGAAAAATGAATGGCAAAAAACAAAAAATAATTAAATTTTAGATAGGGAAATATAATTGAAATTGGATCTTACTTTCAAACAACTAGCCTTTAAGGGTCAGGTCAATATTCCAGAAGACAACATCCAGTGACCTTTTAGAAGTTTACTCACAGTTTTTGGATATGAGTAGAACTGAAATATTTCATATGCTCATATAACAATGCTGCATCTAAAAGCCATTCCTCTTTATAGGTCCATGAGCTCTCTTCCTTGTGACTTCTTTACTCAAGCTGGCTATCTAGAGTGACTGTTCACTTTTCTAAAGTTCTACACACACAGCAGTGCACCATCAGAGTCGCATAAAGGTGTTCCAGATAGAATGATGCTCTTGAAACTATTTCACTTTATTGCTTAAGCAAATCTAAAGTACAGAACCACCAGAAATGCACTGACAGACTCAAAATTTATATGTCGAATGAGTTTTAATTTTATTCTAGTTCCTTCAGCCATCTTTCTCATAAAAACAGCAACTGATTTCCAGATGTAGCTGGAAGCTTATCAGTCTTCATCTAGTTTCAAACTTTTACTTAGTATATATTAATGGTACCAGGAGATATTTCCAGCTTCATAGAAATGGCTCTTTAGGTTAGAGGGTTCTCTTTAATAATCATAATCTGTTGGCTCAAAATTATTAGATAATCATACTATGCAAATATTATTCCTTGGAAAGGATTGTGACATGCTTCTCAGGCCATAAGTCTATCCTGGCGATACTGCACTGTCAAATGATTGGGAATTTGCTGTGAGCCAAATATGTAAATTTAAACATGTCACCCCTAGTATAGCTTAATGCCTGTACTTACTACTGACCATACATGGCAAATAATACAGACTTTTGTTGGTTGAATATGTAATATAAATTTAAACTATGCTTTGGTCTACCTGAAAACATTTGCACATGAAAAAATGTAACAGTCTTTTGGTTAAGGAGATACAAATTAGAATTAAAAAATGGTAAAGATAGAAGACTAAAGAGTGAAAGAAGTGAAGAAACCCCAGATGATGATATGTAGTAATTAAGGATGTCAAATCACAAAATGAATACAGAAACACGGGATATCAAAGTTTGAAAAGTATTTTTACATGGTTGAAAAATTAAAAAAATATATATTTTAATTTTCAAGGAAGAAGGACTACAACACTACTTATGGGGAAAAGATTTTGTAAACACCAACCAGATGCTTCTTGTATAAGTTCTGAGCATCAATAAGATTCTGGCCAACATCTTGTGATGATGCTGCAGGCAGGTGATCTCTGATCCATTGCATTTCTGCATCAACATCAAAATTAAACTGGTGAAATTTAAGAGATTCTTCAAGTTGATGACGTCTTTCAGCTGCAGGGACTTCTAGACTGGAAGACCTGTCAAAACATGCTATATTTCATCAAAATCTTTCAACAACAAAGTTTTTAAAAGGCAATTCTGGACAGGAATACATGTTTATTTCATCCAAATCTTTAACACAGAGATACAACATTTATTAATTTATTATACAAATACTACATACTTTATTCTTTACTCTATCACATGGAACAAAGATATTCCCACATTCCAGTGTCCTTTTTTCTGGGTGGTCAGAATGTGTATTGTGAATATGGTTTGGGGAATTTTTGAGGAGATGCATTACAATTTTTGAGGAAGACAATTCATTTTGTTTTAAAGATCATCAAAGCTGGTCGACAATGCCTATTCCTTGTTTTACTATACTCTTTCCTACCCTCTGATTGTGTACATTTTATTTAACTTCAATTTACTTTCAAGTTATGCTCGTTTTGATCTACTTCAATTCTACATATTGTTTCATTTTCCTTTGGTATTCCTTCCTTTACAAAGAAGCAGCCCTACTACTATAGACAATCATCATTTCAATTACCTATCTATTATTTTGTTTTTCTCTAAATAATGCATTTGCTTTTCTTAAAAGACTTCAAAACCATGCTTTGTTTCTTTTACTTTACCTATAACAAATTTCTATACCTATCGTTTTAAATATTAGATTCATGAGCATATAGTGTTAGCAGTAATTGAGTGACTGTATGTTAAGTCTATCTTTGAATTACCAATTCAAAATATGCCTCAAACTCTATAAAATGATATAAAAATATTCTTGGATTAAAAAATATATTTCAAAGTCTTTTAATTGCTTATTATTCATTTCAGTATTTACAATTAATATATTAACTTTTGAGATCTTACTATTATTATTATTTTTTTCACCACTTACCTGTCACTCACAGCTTTAGCAGCCTTAAGGATATTTGGAGCATCAAAGTGCCCTTGTCGAGCCATCTCTTGTCCAAGGTTAATCACTTCTTGGACTTTGTTTTCCCATACCCCAAGTTCTGTTTCTAGTACCTAAAATTTACATTACATTTCATTTACTGTGAAATCTAAAAACTAAATAATTTTTATGCTAAAATAGTGTTATCATATATTCTATTTACTTTTACAATTGACAATTAGAAATAGCTGATTGCCCATGCATTAAAAGTAGAAAAATACTTACCTGATGTTTTTTTAAGAGTTCTTTTACACTTCTTAAGTCATGACCTCGATCATCGGATGCCAAAGATCCTTCAAGTTCATCTAGTTTACATCGTGCACTCTCTAGTGTTCTGTTGTAAGAGTGTTGGGAAACAGCCTGTCTCAGCTTATGACCCTTGTCTTTAGTCTGGGAGCAAAGATCATCCCACTGGGTGTTTAAACGGTCTAGTAGCTCAATGACTTTCTCACTGGCAAAGTTCCCATCACTAATCAGTTCAGTGCCAGTCTGAATAAAGAAACAGTTATAACTAAGAAATTGAAATTTTCTTCAGTGAACTTGTTAGTTGATTAAGGAAATATTGATATTAATCATATTGTTTATAAAGTGACAAACGAATTTTACCAGACATATCAACCTATTAAAGAATAATTGTTGAAATCAGCAGTTAAAATGACAAATATAAACATATTTTATACATAATGATTATACTGTGTAAAGGAATACTACTGACTGACTTTAATGTGAAACATCATTCATTATTAAACCAACAGGTATCATGATGAACAGTAGAAACTGAACTATAATAAAAAACTTTAATACCTTGTTAATAATGTCTACTCTGGGCTCATTTGCCTTGACCTCAGCTTCAAAAGCTTCGTGTTTCTGGAGCTTACGTTCAAGGTTAGTTAAATCACGGTAACATTCATCTCCAGCTGTTTTCATTTTTTCCTGCACCCATGCCATCAGCTAGAAATCAAAAATAGTAGAATTTAAAAATTTTTCATGGGTTCATGTTCAATTACATAAAATATGAGAGCAAAACAAGAATTCTGAACTCATTATGTACAAAAAATTTTCAATTCTTAATCATGTATACAAAATATGTTTTTTTGAAATATGAATAAGAATCTCTTTTCTGTCACTCTTTGTAATTATTTTCATTTTTAGTTTAAAGATTATTATTTGGAAACTTTAAATACATACTTCATGTAATATTACAAAATATGCTGCCTCCAGTGGCAAACCTTAGGATTTATAATGCTAAAACTTTTATTTGATCCCTGCAATGAGTAAAGAGCAGATGGCCCATTGTGGCACTTTGCACTTAAAAACAAACAATTACAAAATATACAGTAATCACTCTTTAACAACAAGTTTAAAACAATCTTAATCTTGACCACACCATACCATTATTTTTTGTTTCACAAAATCGAAATTTTGAAGCATTTGAGTCTCATATAAAATAAGATTTTTCAACAAAATGAGAATTGTAATACAAGTATAAGCCTACTCATAATTCTAAATAAAATTACTTAGTGCCCACATATAGAATCTCTTAACATTTATTAAAACTACATTTAAAGTATTAGATCAACTGTAATGTGCCAAGAAGTAATAAGATTCTGAATAAGGAAATATTATTTTAGTTATCAAACTATAGCTGCAACTTTTAAAAAGAAAATTCTTGGGTAGGTAATCATATATAAAATTACATACACACAAACACATGCATGCACAGCTAAGAGATTTATTTTTGTTTGCAACAAAGGCAAAGACCCACAATATCCACCATTACTGTATTAGACATACATAAAGCAAATGTCTAATACAAACATATTCTCTTACCTCATCACCTTCAGCTCTAAACCTTTGATAGACAAGAGATGTTTCCAACATATCTTTTCTTTTTTCTGCTTTTTCCTTTACTGCTTCTCTGAGGGCCACTACTTGATGCTGTCTTTCATCAATACTAAGCAAGGATAAAATCACACAATATATTTTGATTTCTAAGCCATATTAACCATTGCTCATTTGCTCATATTCAGTTACAAGATATGGTGCAAGATAATATAGCATACAGACAGTCCCCTGACAATTCAGCAGTAAGATTATGCACTTAAACCACTGAGGACCAGTTTTGATTCTCTATGGTAGACAAAGTGCATATAGCTCAGTGTCTAGCTTGGTGCTAAAAAAAATTAAAAGGAGCACCATATGGGCAAAAGGAACTATTTAGTCCTTCAAGGCTGTCCTTACACACCCATTCTTGAAAAAAGTAAAAATCTAAACACATCTTTCAATTTTCAGAATATCATGAATTTACCTTTCAAACCGGTAAACTGCTGGACTCCACTACTGCTGATGATAACTCACTCCATAATAAAACCATCTTAAATGTGGCTTAGCCTGCCTATTCCAAATCTTAATCTTGTGTCCCCTTATCCTATTATCTTCTGTCATTCTACAATACTTCAGTACAATTAGAAGTACCAATGAGTTAAATGCCACCAGCAAAATATACAAATATATTAATTATGCTTCAATCAATATAATCAGTGTAAATAAGGAAAAGTAAAAGCCTAAGCATTGACCCCTGAGGATTCCACTATTAATATCAAGGGTTCAGTTTGACTAGAGTCCATTAATAACAGCCTCTTGCTTTCTCCCATCCAACCTTCCTATAATCCAGTTAACCAGTCTTTTCCCAGCCCTTACAAATGTAATTTTCTTAGCTAATCTTTCATATGGCACCTTATCAAAAGCTTTTGAAACAATGAATTTCACCAGATTATTAAAGCAAGATTTGATGTGGGTGAATTCATGTTGGTTTTTATTTATTATATCACATCTCACTAAATGACTTTGTAAAGCTACATATTTCAGAGTCTATTGAGTTTTTACCACTACAGAAGTAACACTAACTGGCTTATTATTTCCAGAACAACTCTAATCACCCCCCTTTATGAATAGGAGTAGCATTACCTATTCTCCAACCCTCAAGCACCTGCCTACTGTCTACTGACATACCAAAAATGAAAGAGAGAAAAAGACAATACTAAGCAGAGGATAAAATTACACAATATATTACAGTTTTTCAATAATTTAGTTGAAGCCAATAACTGTGGAAAAAGGACATTAAGTAGTCAGAAAAGGGTATTTTCAGTGCCCTAACTAAACAAGTACACAACAGTTCCATAACAGGTAAAATCCTTCTTAGCTTCCCTAAGAAAATCTTTTAAACTAGAAAATTTTGTGTTCAATGCAATTTTCTGCAACTTGTAATTTTCTTCTACTATATTATCTTCATTCAAAAACTTACACCACACTAAATATTTAAAGTAAGATTGTGTTGATTGGAGTTCAATCATTACAGTGGTTAGTAGACTACAAAATCATCTAAAGGTGATCATACGGTTTATAAGCCATGACACTGATACACCAGATTGTGGGCATAATAATTTTGTTTTTCAACTTTTAACATATTATATTAGCC